ACTACTACTACTACTACTACTACTACTACTACTACTACTACTACTACTACTACTACTACTACTACTACTACTACTACTACTACTACCCTACTACTACTACTACTACTACTACTACTACTACTACTACTACTACTACTACTACTACTACTACTACTACTACTACTACTTCTACGACTACTACTACTACTACTACTACTACTCCTCCTCCTCCTCTTCCTCCTCCTCCTCCTCCTCCTTCTCCTCCTCCTCATTATCCTCATCCTCATCCTCATCCTCATCCTTCTCCCCCCCTTCCACCTCCTCCACCTCCTCCTCCTCCTCCTCCTCCTCCTCCTCTCCGCTCGCTCCCTCGCTACCCAAAGGCTCGGGCTCGTTGCCACAACTTTGGAGAGAGGGGTGAAGAGAGCGGGGTATAGGACAGAGTCCTCGACCTTGCCCAGATCGCACACGCAGAACATGCAGGAGCAGGGGAAGCGGAGGAGGCGCTCCTCATCGTCCTCCTCTTCCTCCTCCTCCTCCTCATCCTCCCCCTCCACAGGCACCAGACGACGTGATGCTATCAAGGCGCAGCCCCAGAGGTCAAAACCCCTTCCCCGAGGGTAGTCCTTCGTCCCGCAATCATACTTGACTGCCCCAGGGCCCAATGACGGGGCCTGGAGGCCGAAATCGAAGTCAAACACATGGATTGAAAAATCATACCGTCGGAAACCTGTATCGTCCTCCTCCTCCTCCTCCTCCTCCTCCTCCTCCACCTCCTCCCCCGCCTCCTCCTCCTCCTCATGCTGCGGCGCGCGGCGGCCCCAGCCGAACTCCTTTGTATGGTTGCATCAGCCCCAGCAGTGTCTCAGCTCCGTGTTCCGCCCTGTCCTCCTCCTCCTCCTCCTCCTCCTCCTCCTCCTCCTCCTCCTTCTCATCCTCCTCCTCCTCCTCCTCCCCCTCCTCCACTTCCTCCTCCTCCTCCTCCTCCTCCTCCTCCTCATCTCATCATCATCATCATCATCATACAGCAGCAGCAACCAGCATCAGCATCAGCATCATCACCATCACCATCACCATCACCATCACATCATCATCATCATCATCATCATCATCATCATCATCATCATCATCACATCATCATCATCATCATCATCATCATCATCATCATCATCATCATCATCATCATCATCATCATCATCATCATCATCATCTTTATCATCATCATCATCAGCAGCAGCATCATCATCATCATCATCCACCACCTCCACCTCCATCTCCACCTCCACGACCACCTCCACCTCCTCCACCTCCTCCTCCTGCTCCTCCTCAACATCGTCATCAGCAGCAGCATCATCATCATCAAAATCAGCATCATCGTCAGCAGCAACATCATCAGCAGCATCATCATCAGCAACATCATATCATCAGCATCATCAGAATCATCATCATCATCAGCAGCATCAGCATCGTCATCCTCATCATCAGCAGCATCATCAGCAACAGCATCATCATCATCATCATCATCATCGTCATCATCGTCACCATTAGCAGCAGCAGTATCAGCGTCAGCAGCGGCATCAGCATGAGCATCCTCAGCATCATCATCATCAGCAGCATCATAAGCACCATCGTCATCAGTACCATATCATCATCAGCATCACCACCATCATCATAATCGTCATCATCAGCAGCAGCATCATCAGCATCGCCATAAGCGTCGGCATGGTCATCATCATCAGCAGCTCGTCAGAATCGTCATCAGCATCAGCATCATCCGCAGCAGCATCAGCATTATTATCATCACCAGCATCATCGTCATCAGTAGCAGCAGCATCGTCATCATCGTCAGCATCACTATCACTATCAGCATCATCACCAACGTCATTAGCGTCATCATCATTATCAGCATCGTCAGCATCGCAATCATCGGCAGTATCATCATCGTCAGCAGCAGCATCATCAACATAGTCATCATTCAGCATCGGAATCATCAACGTATCAGCATCATCACGGTCAGCACCATCAGCGTCATCATCAGCATCGTCAGCATCGTAATCGTAATCATCGGCATCATCATCAACAGCATCATCATCATTAACATCATCATCATCCTCATTAGCATCATCATCAGCATGGTCATCGTCATCATCATCAGCAGCAGCATCATGATCAACATCAGCAGCATGAGCATCATCATGAGCGTCATCATCATCAGCATCATCGTCAGCAGCATCATCAGCATCATCATCAGCACCATGGTAATCATCAACATCATCATCACCACCACGACCACCAGCTGCTGTAATAAGCAGGTCGACGGTGGAAAAACAAACCGCATGCAAACCTGACAAAAACTGCGGAGACGCATCAGCTAAGCCTACTACGACACAATCACGCTGGTCAGGCGCATCCTGCGTGACGCCTGACCATAGCTTTCCCAGCGGCTGGGTAAGCCAGTCTGCCTAATCTCCCACGGCTCCGCGCTCGTTCAATCAGTTGGGAGGCTGTACTCTCAGAGCCACCGCCGCCCAGATCTGTCTTGCTGCATTGGCTTGTCGCGTCCGTCAAGCGCAGAACAACTCCCTGTCCAACCTCTTCACCCTCTGGATAGCCGACACAAGTCGCAACTGAGCTGCCTCTAAGACCTACAGCCTCGCCTGGTTGACCTCTGGATAGCTGACACGAGTCGCAACCGAGCTGCACCTAACACCTTCAAACCACGTTGTTTGCGGTGCCTACCTTTCTGTTCATCCTCCGCATGCTCTTCCTCCTCCTCCTCCTCCTCATCCGCATGCTCTTCTTCCTCCTCCTCCCCGTTCTCCTCCTTTTCCTCCCCCTCCTCCTCTCCCTCCTCCTCTTCCTCCTCCTCCTCATCCACATCCTCCACATCCTCCTCCTCCTCCTCATCCTCCTGCTCCTCCTCCTCCTCCTCCTCCTTATCCTCGTCATCATCATCATCACCATCATCATCATCATCATCATCATCATCATCATCATCATCATCATCATCATCATCATCATCATCATCATCATCATCATTATCATCATCACCATCATCATCATCATAATCGTCATCATCATCATCATCATCATCATCAGCATCATCATCACAATCATCAGCATCATCATAAGCATCATCATCAGCATCAGTATCAGCATCAGCATCAGCAGCATCAGCATCGGCAGCATCCTCATCATCGTCATCATCATCATCATCATCATCATCATCATCAGCATCATCATCATCATCATCAGCATCATCATCATCGTCCTCATCATCATCATCAGCTGCAGCAGCATCAGCTGCAGCATCATCACTGCCAGCATCATCATCAGCATCATCAGTATCATCATCAGCAGAAGCATCATCAGCAACAGCATCATCGTCAGCAGCATCATCATCAGCATCAGCAGCAGTATCGTCATCAACATCATCGTCAACAGCATCAGCATCATCATCCGCATCATCACCTTCATAATGAGCATAAACATCGTCATCATCATCAGCCTCACCATCATCATCATCATCAGCACCATCATCCTCATCATCAGCATCATCCTCATCAGCAGCAGCATCATCAACAGCATCATCCTCGGTACCATCGTCATCATCGGCATCAGCATCATCCTCGTCGTCAGCATCATCAGCATCAGCATCATCAGCAACAGCAGCATTACCATCAGCATCATAGTCATCAGCAGCAGCATCAGCATCAACATCAGTAGCAGCATAATCATCAGCAGCAGCATCCTCATCCTCATCATCATCATCGGCAGCATCATCAGCAGCAGCAGCATCATCGTCCGCACCATCATCAGCAGCATCAGCATGAGCATCATTATCACTATCAGCAGCATCCTCGCCGTCAGCATCATCAGCATCAGTATCAGCATCAGCATCAGCAGCATCATCAGCATCACCATCACCATGGCCATCATCATCAGCATCATCATCATCATCACGGTCAGCATCATCAGCATCAGTATCAGCATCAGCATCATTTGCATCATCAGCATCATCATCATCGGCATCAGCATCATCATCATCAGCATCATCATCATCCTCATCATCATCATCATCAGCATCGTCCTCATCAACATCATCATCCGATTCCTCCTCCTCCTACGTTTCCTCCGTCTCCTCCTGTTGCCTCCTCATCCTCATCTTGATCATCATACTCCTCCTCCTCCTCCTCCTCCTTCTCCTCCTCATCCTCCTCCTCCTCCTCATCATCATCCTCCGCCTTTTCCTCCTCCTCCTCATCGCCCCCTCCTCCCCCTCCACCTCCCCCTCACCCTCACCCCTCCTCCTCCTCCTCCTCGTCCTTCCCTTGTTCCTCCCTTCCTCCCCTCCTCCTCCTCCTCCTCCTCCTCCTCCTCCTCCTTCTCTTCCTCCTCCTCCTCCTCCTCCTCCTCCTCCGCCTCCGCCTCGTCCTCCTCCTCCCCTCCTCCCCCTCCTCCTCCGACGACGACGAAAACGACGACGAGGAGGAGGGAGGAGGGAGGAGGATGCTTACGATGGTGGTGGTTGTGATGATGTTGATGATGATGATGATGACGATGATGCTGATGATGCTGATGGTGGTGATGATGATGGTGATGATGACGAGAATGATGGTGGCTATGGTAACGATAATAATGATGACGTTGATGATGATTATGATGATTGTGGTGATAATGAAAATGATGCAAGTATTGATGATGATGATGACGATGAGGAGGATGAGGAGGATGGTAATGATGATGATGAGGAGGATGACGACGACGATGATAATGATTATGAAGATAATGGTGATGATGATCATGATGATGCTGATGATGATAATGATGATGACGGTGCTGATGATGATGTTGATGATGACGACGATGACAATGACGATGATGATGATGATGATGATGATGATGATGATGATGATGACGATGATGATGACGATGGTGTTGATGGTGATGATGATAAGGAAGAGGAGGAGGAGGAGGAGGAGGAGGAGGAGGAGGAGAAGGAGAAGGAGGAAACGGAGGAGGAGGAAAAGGAGGAGCAGGAAAAGGATGAGAAGGACAAGGAGGAGGAATAACAGAAGGAGGAGAAGGAGGAGGAGGAGGAGGAGGAAAAGGAAAAGGAGGAGGCGGAGGAGGAGGAGGAGGGGGAGAGGAGGAGGAGGAGGAAGAGGAGGTGAGGAGACGAGGAGGAACGAGGAGGAGGGGGGGGAGGATGAGGAGAAGGAGGAGGAGAAGGGAGAGGAGGAGGGGAGGAAAGAAGAGGAGGAGGACGACCGAGGAGGAAGGAAGAGGAAGAGGCGGAGGGAGGAAGAAGGAAGAGGAGGGGGAGGAGGATGCAGGAGGAGGAGGAGAGGAGGAGGAGGAGGAGGAGGGGAGGAGGAGGGAGGAGGAGGAGGAGGAAGAGGAAGAGGAGCAGGAGGAGGAAGGAAGGAGGAAGTGAGGAGGAGGGAGGAGGGAGGAGCAGGGAGCAAGAGGAGGAGTGAGGAGAAGGAAGAGGACTGAGGAGGAGGAGGAGGAGGAGGAGGAGGAGGAGGAGAGCAAGGAGGAGGCTGGCAAGCAGGACGGAGGAGGCTGGAGGCAGGCGTCGCGGCGTCGCGGAGGTACCGCAGGTCGCCCCGAGGCACACGGCCCCCCGGCTCGCCCTGTGTAGGTGCCGAGGCGACCCTAAGGGTGAATTCCCGCGACGGCAGTGCCCGCGCGCGGCAGGCGCGCGCGCGCACGGCGCGCCGAATTTGGACTGCGTGCAGGGGCGACGTCGAAGTAGAAAGATCGGCATGGGCGCTGCGGAGAAGAGTCCAGAGGGATCGGCAGGAGAAATCTGCGGAAGGTCGGAGGAAGAGGGAGAAGACGAATTGCCTGCCGGGGGCGCAGTCGAACGCTCTCGGAGGTCCGCGCGGGCTTCCTGGATCAGCGCCGGATCCCCCTCCCCGGAGCGGCGCCAGAGGCGCCAGCGCCGATCCACAATTGCGCGCGGACCTCAAAAAGCTTCCGCTTCATTGCCGATGGCCGAGCAGGCGGGCCAGGGCAAAATGGCGGCAGCAACTCTCTTGGGGGGGCGGTGGGGGGGGGGAGTCCTGGCCCCACCGCTGGGGCGGGCGCCGGCGCCAGGGTGGGCGCCGGGCGTGCGACGCCTCCCCATCAGACCTAGGCGATGGCACGAAAGGGCGCGGCGGCTGGCTCGTCAGCGTTCTACGAACTCTGAGAGGCTGTTTCCTGGCCCCAGGACGGTCACGAAAAAAGGGGGCGCCCGAGGTGAGGTGCTGGCGTCCTGCAAGAACGTCACGACAATGCTGCGCCATTCTGAATGTTTGGGAGCCGTTTCTGGGCTTCGGGGGCATCCACAAACGATACTGGACGAAACCTGGGCCCCTACGAAGAGGTCGAGATCTCATTGAAAAATCATGGCATCGGAGGTCTGTGTGGGGAGGAGGAAGATGATTAGCAATAAAAGGACCCCTAGCCCTGAGGGATGGGACCTAAGTTAGGAGGGCCAGTAAATGATGGCACCAGAGAAAAATCACAATCCAAGTTTTTTAGGGCTATAGGGCTATGGGGCTATTGGGCACTAGGGCGATGGGGCTATGGGACTATAGGGCTATGGGGATATAGGCCTATTGGGCTATGGGGCTATAGGGCTATAGGGCTATGGGGCTATAGGGCTATAGGGCCATAGGGCTACAGGGCTGTAGGGCTATAGTGCTATGGGGCTATGGGACTCTGGGGTTATGGGGCTACAGGGCTATAGTGCCATAGGGCCAAGAGTCTATAGGGCTATAGGGCTATAGGGCTAAGTATGGGACCACAGGGCTATAGGGCTGTAGGGCTATAGGGATATATGACAATTGGGCTATGTGGCTATAGGGCTAAAGGCATATATATATATATATAGAGAGAGCTATAGGGCTATAGGGCTATAGGGCTATAGGGCTATAGGGCTATAGGGCTATAGGGCTATAAATATATAAGGCTATAGGGCTATAGGGCTATGGGGATATAGGGCTATAAGGCTATTGGGCTATTGGGATGGGGCTATAGGGCTGTAGGGCTGTAGGGCTGTGGGGCCATAGGGCTATAGGACTATAGGGCTACAGGGCTATAGGGCTATGGGGCTATAGGGCTATGGCGCTATAGGGCTTGAGGGCGATAAGGCTATATGACTATAAGGCTATAAGGCAATAGGGTTATAGACTACAGGGCTATAGGGCTATAGGGTTATAGGGCTATGGGGCTATAGGGCTATAGGGCTATAGGGCTACAGGGCTACAGGGGCCATAGGGCCATAAGGCTATAGAGCCATAAGGCTATAGGGCCAGAGGGCTCTTGGGCTATAGGGCTATAGGGCTATAGGGCTATCGGGCTATAAAGCACCCGGGCACCCGGGCATCCCGGCACCTGGGAACCCGGGCACCCGGGCACCCAGGCGGGCCGCGGAAATCGGTGGCAGTTCTGATTGGAGAACATTAAGGATAAGGAGGTATTTCATGCAGATGTGCCACCAAACCAAACGGCCCAGAATGATTGTCCTGTGTGCGAAAACGGGGACCTAAATGAGGCCACGTCTTCACGATGTTATTAAGGTTTGGAGCTCTTTTGTCCTTGATGAAAATCCGCCGACCCTGTCGGCGTGTGCGAGGGTCTTGGCTGTTCGAGTCGTCGTCTCCGTCGGTGGTCGTCGCCTCCGTCGTCCCCTTTCCCTGCAGCTTCCTTCTCAAGCTCGTGAGCGAGAGAAAAATCTAGCAGTGTCGTAATCGAGTCGAAGGGAAGCCCCTTCCCTTTGATCCCTTCCCCAGGGGGGGGGGGGTCCCGGGGGGGGTCCCGGGGGGGGGTGTCCCGGGGGGGGTGGGGGGGCAGATTCGTTTTCCCTCGGGCGGCCTAGAAACCTCGAAAACACTCCAAATGAGGTCCGAATGCCCAAGATGGCCCCCGAGACGGCCCAAGAGGGCCCCGAGTCGCCCAAAGATCGGCCGAAAACGCCCACGATAGCCCCAAGACCGTCCAAGAAGCCTCCAAGACGTCCCAGGCCCCCTCCAAGAGACCCCCAGGAAGCCCCAAGAGGCCCCCACGAGGCTTCCAAGCGGCCCCTCAGAGCTTCCCAAAAGGCCCACAAACTACCCCCAAGAGGCCCCCAGTAGCGCTCGTCGTCGTCGTCGTCGCCGTCGTCGCCATTCAGGGTCGGCGGCACTGGCCGTAAGGCCTTCGCAATAACAACCTTTAGGGGCGTCCAGGGGGGGCCCTCCGTCGCCGAGCGGCTGTGGCTTCTGGGAGTCCTGATCAGGACGCGCTCTAGAAGAAATCTGGGGGGAGAATTTTCTCGGCCGCGCGCAAAGGGGGTAGGTGGGGGGAGGGGGCAAGGCTTCTCAGAAGGAGGCTGGTTCTTGGAAGGCGCTGGCACTAAGTCTGTTGACCAGACCCGCGCCTTCTACGAAGCAGGGTGTTTCCAAGAAGCCGTCCCTCCTCCCCCATACCCCCCCTGCGCGTGGCTGATGTTCGACAGGGGAGGGAGAGGACCGTGACACCCGGGCGCCACAGCAAAAAAATAAACGCGAAAGGCAGTAATACAGTCGGGGCGTTGACCTAAGGAACCCTAAGTAAGGAACGAGGCCCCTTTTTCCCACAAGTTAACTTCGATTTCCCATCGAAACCCTAAGCAAAACCAAAGGCGAACTGCAAAACAACTAAGGAACACCGAGCCCCTCCCCAACGAAAAGGGTTCCTTCCTCAGCGCCCCGACCGTACCCCGTGACTCGGGCGCACGGACCTGCACGGATCGATGTGGCCCCACGAGTCCCGCGCAGAGTTGGCTCGGGAGTCCTCGCGGCGGTGTGCTTCACGACGGCGTGGCTTCACGGCGCCAGATGGCCCCCTCTGAACCCGAAGTGCGTGCAAAAACTGCGTCCTTGAGAGGGGGGGGAGTCTGTCCTCCCTTCTCACTGCACTGCGCCCAAACACCTTCAGAGGGACGTTTCGTGAGGGGCCTAAGGTAAAATCCACCGATCGTCGGCGCACGATATGTCTATTCATAGCGAGTGGTCGGGCCCTAACGGGAACGCTGAAGTCTGTCCGCCCATGGGTTGTTTCCGCCGCCTGCCGCTGGCCTTCCGGCGCCGTCCGCCCGAGGAGCACAGGCAAGCTGCTCGACCCCCCATCGAGGGCGAGGCCCTTCGCGGCGCCCTCTGTAGATCTCCACCCGCCCGCCCGCCCCCCAAGACGGCGGCAGGCAGAGCAGATGCTCAGGCAGGGACAGCCCAGGACCTCTGAGAGCGGGCGGCCCTGGAGGACGCCTCCGGCGCCGCGGCCGATCCCGAGCGCGCCGGGACGCCCCGAGAGCGTCCCAGCACGCTCCGAGCCCTCGGCCTCGGCTTCTGCCGTGCTTTCCGCGCGGCGCGTGCCGCGCCGCGGCGACGGCTGCCAGAAGGCGGAGGCAGGCAGTTGAGCGGCCGATCTCTCCCCCGGGCCTGCCCGACCCTCGTCCGAAGGGGAGCCACAGGAGCGACGAGGAGAAACGAGTCCTGGGCGAGATGGCGCAGCGACCTCACGCGGCGGCTCGCGCGCGGGCCGCTGCCGCGGAACGCGACACTGGAAGCGAGGGCGCTCACGCGCGACCTGACGCGGGCAGCGTACGCGAATGTCGGCGCAGACGGCCCCCTTTTCTTGCGCCCCTCACAGGGGGGCCCGTTCGGGGGGGCGGGGCGGGGCGGGGGGGCGGAAGAGGGGGGGGGAGACCATCGACCTGGAATCGGCGAGACATCGCCGACATATCGGCGCTGGGCCCACAGCGACGAGGCTGCACCTTCCCAGGCAGGGTGCGGGGGGCACCCAGGCCCCGGTCAAACGCTGAGTGGGCGATGGGAGGCCGAGGCCCCCCCTGAACCTACTCCAGATTTCGCAGTAAAAAGGAAGGGGGTCTGGACCCTCCAAGATAAGCCATTTCAGACCTCCCCCGTGGGAGAACCCTCCAAAACATCGTCCCCAGCCCCCCCCAGGCCCTCCAAAATCGCTTGGAAAAGACCCCCCCCCAAATGAGACCCCTTTCCGTTTATTACGAAATCTGGAGTACCCACCCCCCGACGTTGCCCCTGGTGGCTTTCGGGCCATGACTCCGCTCTCCGGCTGCCCCGCTCGGGGACGAGCCGGGCCCCCCCGGGAGCGCCCGCGGCGAGGCGCAGCTCCTGGGACGCACCCCGAGGCTGGAACGCCGCCCTCGGAAACGCCCGAAGACCTCGAACCTCGAACCGGAGACGCTCTCACCCTTTCTTTTTTTTTCTCTCCTGGCAGAGCACGATGACTCCAGCCAAACCAGTTGCGACACAGCCGGCGTTAAACTGTTAAAGCAGTTTGCGCCCACACTGGCGTTAAAGCTGTTAAAGCAGCTTGCGCCCACTTCTACCTCAACATACTGGTGCTATACATCCCCCGAAGCATCAGCGCGCAAGAGACACCGCGAGACTGTATCGGCCACGCGGCTGGGACAGGCAAGCGCTACCCATGACAATTATTGCCCGGGCATGTGTCCAAGACTGTTGAACGTACACGTTCTGATATTCGCACACTGATGCCCAGGAGGAGGAGGAGGAGGAGGAAAGACAGGAGGAGGCCCCGCCAAGGAGGGAGCGTGCGGAAGAGTGGCTCACCCCGCCGCCACCATGGTGTCGCACCCCGGCACCAATGTCAAGACCTCCCTGTCCATCTTGGTGCTGCGACTCATGATGACCGTCGGAGCCACGTCAGGTATTTCAGGTAGCCGTCCCCGTGCCAGGGCGGAGGCTGTAGGGCGACGGGCACGGGTAGTGGTACCGGTGCGTCGTGGGCCCAGCAGCTCAACTCCCTGCGCGCAGGTCGTGCATCGAATTCAGTCGCTGGTGAGCTGGAGTCGGTGGTGTGCTGGAGTCGGCGGCCGTTGAGGGCTCAAACTGGACATAAAGCCCGCGCGCGAAGGTAGAGTTGGAAGCGGCGCAGGCGTCGGGGCAGGAGTCGGAGCTGAGATGGAGGTGCGCATGCACGGCCCGTATGGTGGAATGGGGCGGGTGGAGGTGAAGCCGGAGATGGGGTGCTGGGGTGGGCTTTGGTATTGGTGTCGGCGTAGGTGCCAGTGTTGAGATTGGTGCAGGGGCTGTAGTCGGAGCGGAGGCGCTGGTGCAGGGGCTGCCGTCGGAGTGGAGGGGGAGGGTGGTCCATAGTGGAACTGTCACCTTTGGGCTGGCCTGGGAGGGGCGTGGGAACCCGCCCATGCAAAGCCAGGAGAAGTGATGCTGTAGGTCGGAATGCTGCGTTGGTGTTCGTTGGAGGTCGATAGGTGAAGGTGTATGTGGAATGTTTGATGCTGGGTGTTGCAGGTGTTTGTGCTGGTTTGGTGGAGGTTGAAAGCCGATAGGTGGGGGTGATGGTGTGAACGTTGATGTCGGATGCTGGATGTGAGAGGTCAGAGTGCGGAACTGGTGGAGGTTGGAGGTCACCCGGTGGAGGTGTAATTGGAGTTGGGTGCTAGCTCCTGGGGGTGAAAGTGCCGAGTTTGTGGACGCGGGAGGTCGATAGGTGCAGGTGGAACCGTCGTGCTGCGCATGGTTCTCGTCGTGCAGCTCGTGGTATCCGATGTGCTGCTCCTGGCACCTGTCGTGCTGCGGATGGCATCTGTCGTGCAGCTCGTGGTGCCCGTCGTGCTGTAGCTCGTATCGGTCGACGTGGGCGTGGTCTCCGTCGTGCTGCTCGTGGCACTCGTCGTGCAGCACACGGAATCCTCTCTGTCAGTTGAGGCTGGCAGGCCTGTAGCTGTCCTGGCCGAGTGACCGATGGATTGTGGAAGGGCGTCTGCCCTGGACTCGGCCGGAGTCGAAACTGTGCACGAGTTTTCTCGCACCCCAAGGGTGGACGCCGGCGTGTCGCCCTATTTGGGGGGTGCCAGCCTGTCGATATATTCCAGTGCTGCTCGTGGTCTCTGCCGCGCAGCTCGTGGGCCTCGTCGTGTTGCACGTGGTACTCGTCGTGCAGCTCATGGAATCCGCGATTGTGCTGTAGCAGATGCAAGTGTTGGCGCCAGCGGCAGAGCTGGCGACGGCGCCGGTGTAGACGATGGCGCTGGTGCCGGCTTAGGCGCAGGCGTAAAAGCTAGCGTGTCGGAACTGGCGTTGATGCCGGCGTAGGCGCAGGCGTTGATGCTGGCGACGGTGCTGGTGTCGGCGCTGGCGGGAACGCCGGCGTTAGAGCTGGCGTTGGTGCAGGTGTGGGAGCTGCTGTAGGCGCTGGCGTTGTTGCCAAAGGAGGCGCCAGCGTTGGCACATCGGCGCTGGCGCCGGCGCAGACTTAGGTGAGGCGCCGAAGTTGATGCTGGCGTCGGTGTGGACGTCGGCGCAGGCGCACGCGTCGGCGTTCGTGCTGGCGGCGGTGCTGGCGTTGGTGCGGGTGTAGGCGCTGGCGTTGGTGCCAGGGCAGGCGCTGGCGTTCGTGCTTGCCTCAGAGCTGACGTCGGTGCTGGTGTCGGCGCTGGCGTTGGTGACGTGTAGGCGCTGGCGTGGCTGCTGCAACCGTAGTGCTGGCATCGGCGCTGTTGCAGGCGTCGACGGTTGCGTTGGTGCCGGCGTTGGCGTCGGTGCTTACGTAGGCGCTGGCACTGGTCCCAGCGTTGGCGACGGTGTTGGGGCAGGCGGTACACATCAATCCCACGCGGTGCGCTAAATGATGTAAAGCATGAGTAGGTTAGCTCCGTCCTTACAGCCGTTTATCCCTCGAAGTGGGATAGAGGGTGCTGCGTACGGAAATAACAGAGCATTCGTGAATCACAGTTCAGCATGCTGGCGTTGGCGCAGGTGTTGATGCTGGCGTCGGTGCTGCCGTCGGCGCTGGCAAGGAGGCGACGCTGATGTTGGTGTCGATGGGGGCGTCGATGCGGGCGTCGGTACCGGTGCAGACGCTGGCATTGGGTCAGGCGTAGGCGCTGACGGTGGTGCTGGCGTCGGTGATGGCGTCGGTGCTGGTGTAGGCGCGGGCGTGGGGGTGTGTGACTGCAGAAGGGGTGATGGCAGTCAGAAAGCCAGACGGTGCACGCATCTAAGCACGATGTCCGCCAAGGAAATGGGTGTGGCTGTCGCCGACGGGATCGAAGGTGCGGTTTTGCTGCTGGATCCACAAATGCTGGTGTGAAGGGTGCTGCTGGTTGTGCTGGTGCTGCGACTCCGGGCCGTACTGGCCACAGTGGGATTGCTAGTAGCGCAGTTGCTATGCGTGGCGCTGGTCCCAGCTGTGGTGGTCACAGTGACGCTGCTGGTGACACTGGTACTGCTGCGCGTAGTACTGCTGCGCGTGGTATTCCTTGTCCATGCAAAAAAACTCCTCCCTGTCACACCCCGTGTTTCGGGGGTCGATGAGCTGGTCAATGCGGGAGTCGATGTGCTGCTCGGGACGGGAGTCGGGAACCGCTTGGTCCAGACCTCCCAGGGACGGGGTCGGTGAGCTGGTCGATGCGTGAGTCGATGTGCTGCTCGGAGCGGGAGTCGGGAACCGCTTGGTCCAGACCTCCCGGGGACGGGGTCGGTGAACTGGTCGATGCGGGAGTCGATGTGCCGCTCGGAGCGGGAGTCGGGAACCGCTTGGTCCAGCCACCCGGGGACGGGGTCGGTGAGCTGGTCGATGTGTGAGTCGATGTGCTGCTCGGAGCGGGAGTCGGGAACCCGAGACACTCTCACCCTGAGCCTGTCGCCCCTCTCAACATCGAACCTTGAACACGAGACGCTCTCACCCTGAGCCTGTCGCCCCTCTCAACCTCGAACCTTGAACCCGAGACGCTCTCACCCTGAGCCTGTCGCCCCTCTCGCTGCCTCGCCCCGCGGGAGCCGCCGCCGCCGCCAGCGGCGTGGCCAGGCGCGCGGCGCGGGCGATCACGCGCCCGCCGCCCTGGCGTGCCTGCCCTGGCTGGTGCGGAAGCAGCTCTTCTTCCTCGCCCTGCCCAGCACCTCTCGCGAGCAGCGAGGCACGTCCGCATCCGTGCTGAGAAGAAGGCAGGATGGGGACAAAGTCGGACGAGGAGAAACTGGGAATCTCTGAGGGCCGGCGGGTCTGAAGGACGTGCCGAGCGCCACGGCCCTCCGAGAGCGCTCCGGAGGCTCTGAGGGCCTCTGGGGAGCGCTGCGGAACTCTGGACCGACTTGTTCTCCTCCTACCTGGCCTGGCCTTGAGCGATCGTGGCGCTCAGGAGGCGCAAGTCTTTCGATGTCGGCCGAGGACAGCCCACTGCAGGCGCTCTGCCTTGAACGCTGTTGCTCAATCTTGAACGCTCGCGCCAGGATCGTCGCCGCGTCAACACGGCGCCAATCTGCCGTAGGGTTATGTTGCTCCCATCGTACTTAAGGACCACATCCCAGACATGATTGCGAGCGGCCGGAAAAGTGTCGAAACAGTGTCGAAACAGTATCGGACGAGTGTCTCCCAGGGCCTGGCACGTGAAAACCCTCGAGCTTCGGTATTTTTTTGTGCTCGAAATTCTTTCTGGTAGTCGAGGCTAAAACAGGTTGGAACATCATAACCGTAGGGACATTTTACCGGAAGGTCGGTCCGCAGACCTTTTTGGGACGCCCGAGCTGCTGGAGCTGCATCCACCCGCGGCCACGAGGGTCGGCCCCCCTCCCCCACTAGGCCGCCACGCGCGAACCCTACCCCCTGCTCCCCCACGATTTCTGAGGGGGGGGGGGGGTCACTTCGTTCGAGAGCTATCGAGCGACGTGAACCCCAGCCTCCCCCTCAGAAATCGTGGGGGGCAGGGGTAGAATTCGCATGTGGCCCCCTGCCCACCCCGAGGCTCCCAGAAGACCAAAAACTGCGCCCCAAGGGTTCGCCGCCGCGTCGGAAGGACACGAACCTGCTGGGCCGAGCACGTCGAGAATCGTTGATCATATTCGATTTCCGCAGAGCGAAAGGAGGAAACGAGGGAGGTTGATGGGGGGGAGAAGCGGGAGAGAAGGAGGAGGAGGAGGAGGACGACGACGGAAGGGGAAGGAGAAGGAGGAGAAGGAGGAGGATGAGAAAGAGGCGATGCTGGCCCAATGTGTTCCCAGCTTCTCGCGCCACGTTGGACCCCCTGGGGCTGGTACCTCCCGCCCGCGAGCCTCCTCCATGCGCGCCTCGTGCCCCGCCTTGAGCGCGGCCGAGTCGATGCCAGCCTGCTGCTGCGCCCTGCCCGCCTCGGCGCGCGCTCTCTGGGCGTCGGAGCGGCAGCGGTCGATCTCCTGACGCTGCTCTGTGTCAACACAACAATAGACACATCGCCGCGCCGCTTGCTGCCGATACGCCCAAGTGGACGAAGCCGACACAACGGCAAACCCTGCGCAACGCGCCCCAAGTAGACGACGCCAGCAACGCGGCAAACCCCACGGCGAGCCCACCAAGCCTGTGGCGGCGTTTGCCCTGGTGCCCGCGGCGCCCTCCCCACGGCGGAAGACCGCGCGTCGGAACAGACGGCGCGTCGACACGTCTACGTATACAACATGAACTGGATGTACCAAACTGCTCGATGCTTCCACATGCAACATGCTGCCATCGCGGTAGCTCCCCCATTCATGAATGATCTGTGTTCACGCATCCGGGAGGCAACACTCCATTACCCTGATCTCCTGCCGGGAAAGGTTCGCCCAGAATTGGAATCTAATAACAGCAGCAGCAACAACAACACCCACAACAACAATAATAATAATGATGAGAATAACAATAATAACAATAATAACAACAATAATAACAGTACGAATAATAATACTTACTAGTATTATTAATAAGAATGCTAATAATAATAAGAAGAAGAAGAAAGATAATGATAATGTGCTTGCTCGCGTGCCACTCAACACGTATATCCCGAACCCACGAATTCCGCCTTCTTCGTCTTCGACTGCACCCCCTTGGGGGTATAAACCTTTCTTACCTGCAACGTGTATTCCGTGCAGCCCCGGAGGCAGGGGAAGAGAGGACGGACAGAAGGAAGGACAAGGGGGGACGGAGGAGGATAGAGCACAAAAGAGAGTAGCAGGAGGGGGGCTAGGAGCAAAAAAAAACACGTCGCAGAACCAGACGGGCAGATCGGGCGGTTGCCCAAGCGTGCGTCCTGCATGAATCGCGAGGAAGTCTCGAGCGACAGCTCGATTCCCAAATGAATCAAAAGGACATCCACAGCGAGAGCGTGACTCCTGAATGTCGAGGGCGCGGCGTCTGAGTAAATTGTCTGTAAGTCCCACGAGAGAGCGCGATTCCTGAATAAATTGTAGAAGGAAGTCCCGCGCGAGAGCGCGGTTTGGGAACACACTGTGAGGAAGTATCAGGCGGGAGCCGTTGTTGTTGTAGTTCGGGACCCAACAAAGCAGTTTGAGGAGGAAGCCTTTCCCTTATCAACAACAAGGTGCGAGCCCTGGGAAGGGCATTCAAATTGAAAGCACATATGTTACACGAGGGGGGATGAGCAATGATTAATCTTCAGTAGTGAGGGTTCAACAAGAACAAGAACAACAACAACAACAACAACAACAACAACAACAACAACAACAACAACAGGAGTAGCAACAACAACATCATCTACAACAACAACAACAACAACAACAACAACAGCAGCAGCAGCAGCAGCAACAGCAACAACAACAGCAGCAGCACCACCAGCCGCAACAGCAACAGCAACAGCAACAGCAACAGCAACAGCAACAGAAACAGCAGCAGCAACAACAACAACAACAAATCACCTTAAGACGGTTCGCTCTCGTCTGCTCGCGGGCCACTCAACACGTATATCCCGAACCCTCGATACCCGCCCTTTTCGATTTCGATCGCTACCCCTTGGGGGCATCCGCCGGCCCCCTCGCGGGGCCACCAGGCTGCAGGACGAGGGTTTGCTGTTCCCTGCACCAGTTCCAGTTTCCAGTTTCCACTGTTACGGTTCTGCTTCTTGTTGCTTACTGTTCCTTGCTGTAGACCGCGCGAAATGGGGGAGCCGAAAACCGCCCTCATTAGCACCTCCCGGGAGGGGTCTCAGAATTTCTGGGGGGGGCGAAATTGACGCTCCTCACGCAGATCGACGGGGTCAGGGTCCAAAAACACATGGGATTTGCTACATTTTTGAAATTCGGTGGAACCCACCCCATCACGCAGATCGGCGGGGTCAGGGTCCAAAAACCCACGGGATTTGTCACATTTCTGAAATTCGGCGGCACCCCTCCCACAGATCGGCGGGGTCAGGGTCGAAAAACCCATGGGATTCGCCACACTTTGCAAATTCGGCGGCACCCCTCACGAAGATCGGCGGAGTCAGGGTCGAAAAACCAATGGGATTCGCCACATTTTGCAAATTCGGCGGCACCCCTCACGCAGATCGGTGGGGTCAGGGTCGAAAAACCAATGGGATTCGCCACATTTCTGAAATTCGGCGGCACCCCTCACGCAGATCAGCAGGCCATTTCTAAAAATTCGGCGGCACACTTCACGCGGATCAGCAGGGTCAGGGTCGAACAACCGGTGGGATTTGCCACATGTCCGAAATTCGGTGGGAAACCTCAGTGCACAGCATACGGGGGCAGGCTCAAAATGCAACACCGAGTTCAACAATATCATCGGAATCTGAATTTCTCTTACCGATGCTGCTTCACGGCGGCGCCGAGGCCTCATGATTCAGCTCTTGCATAGCCAATTATCCGAGAGAGGGGACCAGCGGCAGGGGGCGAAGCCCTTACGGATAAATCTCTCTGACCTGCAACCTGTATTTCGCGAAGCCCCGAAGGGAGGGGAAGAGAGGACGGACGGAAGGAAGGGACAAGGGGAAAGGAGGAGGATAGAGCACGAGAGCGAGCAAGTAGCAGAAGAGGGGCTAGGAGCAGAAAACACGTGGCAGAACCAGACGGGCAGGTCGGGCGGGTAGACCCTAACCGACGGGTCGGGAAGGCGGGCCCAGGCGGCAAGGTCGATAAGGCGTGTTGGTGAAGCGTGCGTTCTGCACGAATCGCAGGAATGTCTCGAGCGACAGCGCGATTCCCAAATAAATCGTGCGGAAATCCAAAGCGAAAGCGTGATTCCTGAGTGTCGAAGGCGCGGCGTCTGAACAAATTGAGAAGGAATCCCACGCGAGAGCGCGATTCCTAAATAAATTGTGAGGAAATCCCGCGCGAGAGCCCGATTTGGGAATAACCTGCGAGGAAATATCCGGGGGGAGCCGTTGCTGTTGTAAACTGGGGGCCAGGAGCACAGTTTGGTGACACCTCACTTCCCCTTCTTAAAAAGAGGGTGCGAATCCCGGAAGAAGCACTTTGATTGAAAACTGATTTCGGGCAGGGGGATCATAGATACTTTAGAAATGAGAACTCAACAGCAAAACCAACAACAACAACAACAACAACAACAACAACAATCATGTTAATAATGTTCGCTCTTACCTGTTCCAGTGTCAGTCAAGGTGTATTTCCCAAACCCTCGATACCCGCCCTCTTCGTCCTCCATCGTGGCCCTTTTGGGGGTATATCTTTCTTCCCTGCAGGCCGGGCCCCAGCAAGCGGCGGGGCGGCCGCGGACCGTCGGCCTGTCCAGCGGCAGCAGCGACCAGCGGCATCCCGACCCCAAGAGGGACGGACAGGGGACCGACCACGACGACGACGACGACGACGACCACGACGACGACGACGACGACGGCGACGACGACGACGACGACGACGACGACGAGGACGAGCGAAAGCGAGAGCGAGAGCGAGAGCGAGATTGACAGCGGGGCCCCGAAGGGCAGGAAGGGAGCCACGAAGGGCGACAGCGGGGCCACGAAACGCATGCGTATGGGGCCACGAAAGGCGCGAACGAGCGGGGGCCACGAAGGGCAGATAATGCGGGGCCACAAAGGGCAACGACGGGGCCACTGAGGGTAGCAACGGGGCCACGCAGGACAGCGAGGAGGCCACAAACGGCGACAGCGGGGCCACGAAGCGCATGCATATGGGGCCACGACGGGCGCGAACGAGCTGGAGCCACGAAGGGCATACGTATATTGGGCCGCACAGAGGGCAAGGACGGGGCAACTGAAGGCAGCAACGGGGCCACGAATGGCCGCGAAGGGGCCACGAAGGGCAACAGCGGGGCCACGAAGCGCATGCATATGGTGCCACGACGGGCGCGAACGAGCGGGGGCCACGAAGGGCGTACATATATGGTGCCACGAAAGGCAGCGAGGGGACCACGAAGGGCTGCAACGGGGCCACGAAGGGCAGCCAAGGGGCCACGAACGGCTGCAACGGGGACATGAAGGGCAGCGAAGGGGCCACGAAGAGATGCAACGGGGCCACGAACTGCAGCGAGGGGGCCACGAACGGTTGTAACGGAGCCCCGTAAGGCAGCGAGGGGGCCACGAAGGGCTGCAACGGGGCCACGAAAGGCAGCGAGGGGGCCACGAAGGGCTGCAACGGGGCCACGAAGGGCAGCGAGGGGGCCACGAAGGGCTGTAACGGGTCCACGTAGGGCAACGAGGGGGCCACGAAGGGTTGCAACGGAGCCACGCAGGGCAGCGAGGAGGCCACGAAGGGCTGCAACGGGGCCACGAAGGGCAGCGGGGTGGCCACGATGGGCTGCAACGGGGCCACGAAGGGCAGCGAGATCCAGATTCCTAAATAAGCTGTGAGGGAGTCCTGAACGTGAACGCGACTCCTGGTTGCCAAAGGGTTCTTGAATAAGGATTCCTTCATTAAGATTCCCTAGTAAGGCTTCTTTTGTAAAGACTATTTACAATAGATGTCTTAATGAGGATTCCTTGATGAGGATTCCGTCTAAAAGCTTCCCAATAGTGTCCTAAGCACGGATTCCTTAGTGCGGATTCCTCAGCAAGAATTCCTCGGAATCCTTAGGAATCCTCTGGAATTCCTAAGAATCCTTTGTTTTAGGAATCCCTAGGCATTCCTAGGAATCCTTCGGAATTCCTACGAATCCTTAGGAAGCCCTAGGAATCCTTACGAATTCCTAGGAATCCTTCGGGATTCCGAGGAATCATTAGGAATTCCACAGGAATTCCTATGAATCCTTCGGAATTCCTAGAAATCCGTTGGAATTCCTATGAATCCTTCGGAATTCCTAGGAATCCTTAGGAATTCCTAGGGATCCTTAGGAATTCCGGTTGTTCTGAGTGTTGTGGGGGGGGGGGAGGGGGGGTTGTGGGACACGGGTCGGGGCGCCCCGCCCTTACTCACAACAACAACATCAACAACAGCAACAACAACAACAACAACAACAACAACAACAACAACAACAACAGCAGCAGCAGCAGCAACCACAACAACTAACCACGCAAACAACAAACCAGCAGACCCTCTCTCTCTCACACACACACACACGCAAAAAAAAACACAAAGACGCACGCACACACAAAGGCACACACACACACACGCACGCACGCACACGCACACACACACGCACACAGACACACACACACACACACACACACACGCACACACACACACACACACACACACACACACACACACACACACACACACACACACACACACACACACACACACACACACACACACACACACACACACACACACACACACACACACACACACACTTGTCGGTCGTGACGACGCGCCGACTCGCCAGCGCGTCGGGCGCCCACACGGCCGGAGCCGCGCGCGCAGTGTCGTCGTGAAGAACAGCAAAGGGAAGACGGCCGGCCCCTCATGGGGCAGCGGCCGGGCGGCAGCGGGGCAGGCAGCGGGCAGCGGGCCGCAGGGCGGCGGGGCAGCGAGCGGGGCAGGGGCCAGGGGCGGCGTAGGCGAGCGGGGCAGCGAGCAAGGACCCCGCCGCGCCGGAACGGCGGGCGGAAAAGAGCGGCCCGCGGCAGCGGAACCGAAGCGCCACGCCACAGCAAGGCGGGCGGGGGGGCACGGCAAGGAGCCAGAGGCGGGCGGCCGGAGCCAGGAGGAACGTCGGCGCGCTGGCGAGGCCAGCAGCCGAGGGAAGGCAGGCGGGGCGGGGCGAAGTAGGGCGAGGCGGCCGCGCCAGCAAGGCTGGCAGATGGCCTGGGGACCAGAGCCAGAGGGGAGCCCAAGAGGGCGAGCCCCACATCAGCAGACAGGGAAGGGCGGCCAAGGGGCCGGAAAAGCGCGGCGGGCCGCCAGGAAGAGAGGCCGAGCGGCCGGAGGAGGCGCGGACACGGAGAGCGCGGACACCGCCCAGGAAGAGCAGCGGGCCGCGATCGGGGATCTACTGATCTGGGTCATGGCAACCCCGGGTCAGTCGGGCCTTGCGGGATCCTGCAGGGTCCTGCAGGATCCTGCAGGATGCTGCACGCTAGCCCGAGTCAGTGCAGCCTTGGCTCTGCAGGATCCTGCAAGATCCGGCGCTCTGACTGACCCCAAGCCCCGACGCGAGGGGGGGTGCGGTCCCCCCCTCGCGTCGGAGCGTAATGGGGGGAAGGCGACAAATGAAGGGGGGAAGAAAGCTGCACTTCTCGGGCCCTAAAGGCCCTCTTCTTTTGCACCCTAAAGGGCCCCTCTAGGGGCCCTAAAGGGCCCTTATTCTGCAGCCCTCGCTGCCCCCCCCCCCCACATTTCGCTCCCTCCACATGACGCGACGCCAAAGCCGCGAGGGGGGGGGGCGGGCCCCGGGGCGGGAGCAAGCCGCGCCGGCGATCGGACCGACGCCGAGATAGGACCCCAGCGGATCGAACGCCGAGGCGGGCGCATAAAGAAAAAGGGGGGCACGGCTGGCGCGCTGAGCCAGCGGCCGACCAGGAACAGCGCAGAGGCCCTCTCTCACACTCACACACACACACACACACACACGCACACTCTCACACACACACACACACACACACACACACACACACACACACACACACACACACACACACACACACACACACACACACACACACACACACACACACACACACACACACACACACACACACACACACACACACACACACACACACACACAAGAACACACACACACAAGAACACGCATACACAGCAAAAAAACGTCATGCATTAGACAACTAACACACACACACTCACACACACACACAGACACACACACACACACACACACACACACACACACACACGCGCGCGCGCACGCACGCACGCACGCACGCACGCACGCACGCACACACACACACACACACACACACACACACACACAGACAGAGAGAGAGAGAGAGAAACACAAAAAAACAGCATTGAGAAGACAACCAACAATTTGAAGGTGTAGAAAAGAATCCTGGCGCTGCTGGGCCGCCTGGGCCTCCGCCTCGCGCAGCGTCACCTGCATCTCGGCGATGCGGTCGCGGAGGGAGGAGGCCTCCGAGCTGAGCGTCGCCACCTGCACGGTTTCCCCCAGGGCCGTAGGCGACCCGAGGAGGAGGAGAAGGAGGAGGAGGAGGAGGAGGGAGGAGGAGGAGGAAGAGGAGGAGGGAGAAGTGAAGAGGAGGAGGAGGATGGAGGGAGGAGAGATGAGGAGGAGGAAGGGAGGAGGAGGAGGAGGAGGAGGAGAGGAGGAGGGGAGAGGAGAGGAGGAGGAGGAGGAGGGAGGAGGAGGGAGGGAGGGAGGTAGGAGGGAGGGAGGAGGAGGAGGAGAGGGGGCGGAGGAGGATGAGGAGGAGGAGGAGGAGGAGGAGGAGGAGAGGACGGGTCGCCACCTGGCCCTCCAGGAGGCCCGCGCCCCGCTCCTTCTCGAGGAGGCGCTGCTGCTCGGCCTCCAGGGCCTCGGCGTGGCGGGCGCGCTCCTGGGCCGGGCGGGCCTTCGCCCATGATTTGGACGCCCGAAATGGGTACCGAAAGGATGGGTACAATGCCCAACAGCAAATGTTGTCCCAAACCAATAGCGGCCCCTGTTGGGCAGGGGGCCTCCTGTCTCGAATGGACACAGGCCGCGGCGGCGTGGACAGCGAGCCCTGTTCAAAATGAACCAGATCCGCTGTTGGGCACTGTACCCATTCTTTCAGTACCCATTTCGTGCGTGCAGACATGAGAGGAGTCGGGACGAGGACGAGTCCGGAGGAGGGTAAACCTTGGCGGTGCGCACGATCGGGGAGACGTAAGACTCGGGTACGGGGGGCTCGGGTTAGCCTGACGGGGGCCATCATGAAAATGACGAGGCCCAATCTGAAATTTGACGCGGGCTCCCGCTGCAGACATCCCACGAAAACGGAGCCGTCAAAATCCAGGACGCGCTCGTCAAAAAAAGTTGGCACACCGAGGACGAATCCGGAGGAGGGTAAATCTTGGCGGTGCGCACGAGGGGGCGGAGGGAGGGGAGGGCTTCTTGGGAGGAGGCTGCCTCGTAGAAGGCGCAGGCCTTGCCTCCATGGGCGAGGCCCGCGCCCGCAAAGAAGCAGGGGCGCCTCTGAGAAGCCCTCCCCCCTCCCCCACCCCCCTCTGCGCGTGGCTGAGAGTCGGGAATCTCTCGGAGCCGGCTTGTCCGGAGGATGCATCGGGCGCCGCGGCCGCTCCAGAGCCCTCCGGAGCGCTCCGAGAGCGCCCTGGATCGCTCTGAGGCGACGCATCCTCGCCCTGCGCCCTCGCCCCGACCCCCCCCCCTCCTCCCCTCCTCGAGCGTAGGGAAAAGTGGCAGGCGCGCACGTTCCTGCAAAGGGACCCAGGGGCACACAAATAAGTACACACGATTCCCAAGATTCCCCATATTTCCCCATATTTTCAGGGCGTTCGTCTTCCACCCCACTTCCCATACTTTCCCATGTTTTCCTGGGGATCGACGATTACTTGTGTCTGTGTTTTTTCCCTCCTGAACGCTCCTGCTCGAGCTGCCTGCGGGCCTCCTCCACCATGCGCTCGCGCTCGGCGCGGGTCTTCTGGCTCTCGCCCTTCAGCGTGGTCCTCTCGGACTCCAGCTGCCGCCGCGCGTCGTCGACCATCTGCGCCTGCTCGCTGCGCGCCCTGTCGTGCTCGCTGCGAAGCACAGCGCGCTCGCTGGCCAGCAGGTCGGCGAAGCGCTCCGCCTCTGCCCGGGCCGCCTGCACCTCCTGCGAGAGGCGCTGGTGCTCCGCTGCGGTGGCGTCGGCTGCGGCCTTGGCGACGCGCTCGCTCGCGAGGCGCTCGGCCTCCGCTGCCGCGACGCTGGCGCGAGCCTGCTCCATCTGGTCTCGCAGGGCCGCCTGCTTCTCGCAGAGGCTCGCCTGCTGGCCGGCGAGCTCGGACTCGCGGAGGCGCGCGTCCTCGACGTCCTTCAGCGCGGCCTGGAGCTGGGCCCTCGCCTCGTGCAGCTCGGCCCTCACGGACGACAGGCCGTTCTGCGCGTCGCGCTCCGCGTGCTGGGCCCGCTTCACCTCGGCACGCTCCAAGTGGATACGTACGGAACAGATGGCCACGATGCCCAACAGCACACAGTCTCCAAAACCGACTGCGGCCGCTGCTGGGCTGGCGACGCTTGCCGCGAACGGGCCACGCCGCGGCGACGACGATAGCGAGTCCTGCTCAAAACGGGCAAGGACTCTTGTCGGTGCTCGCCCCCTTCTGATAAGGCGTTGGGCTGCGCACTGGCAGCCCCCCCAGGTAGTTCGGGTCCAGGGTGGTCTCAACACCTCAAGCTTGGGGCGCGGAGCACCCCAGGGGCGCCGCGTATTGAGGCCACCCTGGACAACTCGGGGGAGGGGGCCTGTTCAGGCCAGCAGGGACTGCTCGGGGAGCCTGTTGAGGCCAGCCACGACTGCCTGGGAGGCTGCCTATGCGTGCGCAGCCCGGCGCCTCACCATCCTCGTTCTTTTCCCGCCCCCATTCTGGGCCCTCCTGCTCACCCTCTCCTGCACCCCGACAAGTTCGGCGCGGTGAGCCGCGAGCTCCGAGAGGACCTCGCCCTCCTTCTGGGCGGCCTGCTCACCCCAGACCATTGCCCTCCTCCAGGGCGACGAGATCTAGATCTACATACATACATATAGATAAGCATACAAACATATGCATGCAGACATACATACATATATGCATACATACATACATACAGACAGACAGACAGACAGACAGACATGCATGCATGCATACATACATACATACATGCATACAGACATACAGACATACAGGCATACAGACATACAGCCATATATGCACACATACATGCATACATATATACATACATACACACACATACATACATACATACATACATACATACATGCATACATGCATACATGCATGCATGTATACATGCATGTATATATATATATATATACATACATACATACATACATACATACATACATACATACATACATGCATGCATACATACATACATACATACATACATACATACATACATACATACATTATATACATACATGATTACATGCATACATACATAAATACATGCCTACATACATACATATATACAAATGTGCATATATACATGCATGCACGCATGGAAACGGCTGAACCTATATATATATATGTATGAATAAGCACATCTGCATATACACATGCATACACACATACATACTTGCATACAAACATGCATACATATATACATACGTACGTACGAACGAACGTCCATACATACAGCCATCCATACATACATACATGCATGCATGTATACATACATACATGCCTACATACATACATACATACATACATACATACATACATGCATACATGCATACATGCATACATACATACATACATACATACATACATGCGTGCATGCATACATACATCCATACATACACACACATGCATACAGACAGACAGACATGCATGCATGCATGCATGCAGACATATATATATATATATATATATATATATATGTGTACATGTATACGTACATACAGACAGACAGACAGACATATATACATACACACAAACATACATACATGCATGCATGCATGCATGAATACATACATACATACACACATACATACATACGTATAGATAAATACACCGCACATACACACACACACCTGTCCACTGCCCCTGGGCCAGGCCCAATCCTGGGCCCAGGGGCGTTGGCATATGCCGCCCTGGCCAAGCCAGGAGGGTGTGCATGCACCGCCGGGAGCGTGGACGCGAATACGTTTCCGTCGCCCGATCCTCTGGGCCTCGCTGGACTGCTCCAGGGTGGCGGCCACCGCCGTGCGGGCGGCCGCGACGCGGCGCGCCGCGGCCTCGATGGCCTGCCGCCCACCCCTCGACAGGGGCGCGGCGGGCATGCGCTCCATCAGCTGGCCCATCTCCTCGGAGAGCCGCTCGCCGGCCTCCTGGGCGCCGGCGTCGTCGTCCAGCCACTCCTGCCAGCCCCGCAGCATCTGCACGAAGCGCTGGTCCGCCAGGCGGGAGTTCTGCGTGCGCACCTGCTGCTCCTCGCGGGCGAGCGCCTCCTTCAGCTCCTGCCAGTACTCCTTGCGCACCGCCTCGTCGCCCACCGCCCTCTCGTCCCACTGCGCCTTCAGCGCGTGGCGGCGGTCGCGCAGGACAGCGCGCAAGGTTTCGTCCGCCAGCGGCAGCTGCGCGCCGCCCGGGACCTGCTGCCCTGAGGCAAGGACTCGGAGCGTCTGGGAGCCCGAGGCTCGCAGCTCGTCCATCAGGCCTCGGCAGGCGGTGTGCTGGACGGCCGTCCACGCGCCCCCGACGTCGAGCATCTTGCTGTCGTTCATGGCGTCGACCAGCTGCCGAACCATCTGGACAAAACCGAAGCAGCCGATGGGCTGACCGCCCACGGTCTTGGGGCTCGCGCGGCACGCGCTCGTGAGCTGCCCGCGCAGTGCCTCCACCCCGGCCTTGAACTCGGGGCGCAGGGACGAGTAGGGAGCGCTGTCGAGCATCTGGAGGTGCCCCTCGTCGCTGGCCGGCTGGACCAGCGTGGCGCAGCTGCGGTGGCCGAAGAACTTGAGAAGGCTCTGGCGCGCCTCCCGCGCCGCCTGTCCGCGCTCCCGGTCCATGGCAACAGACGGGGCTGCATGAAGCGCCTGCTCGAGGTCCGCCGCCGCGTCCTGCTGCGGCGGTGAGCGTGAGCAGCCCCCACCTCCCGGCCCCATCTCCACCCTTCCTACCATTGCATCGACGAGCAGAGAGACCCCCTTGCGCGAGAGGACACGGTCAGCGGCCTCACGCTGCGCGGTGGCTCGCGCGTGCCGCCCACGAGGCGCGCCACGCGGCCGACCCCAGAAACCCTGAAGCCAAAGATGCTGACGCGTCAAGGTTTAGCCCCGAGACGGCCCCCCTCACGGCCCCAGGCCGCGCCGAGGCGAGCCCCGTGCCAGCCCAGTGCAGGCCTGAAGGCCCTAGGCGGCAGACATGTGTGTATCAAATCGTAGCTCTTACGATCTGTTTTCATAACTTGTAATAACTATGTGTTGCCCCCCGACCACCGCCAGACGGCCCGAAGGGCCACCCTAAGACGGTCCCGAAACGACCCGACGGTGGGGTGTCCGACAGACCCGAAGGGGGCCCCACTGAGCCCCGCAGAAGGAAGCCAGGAAGTAGAGCACGCCAGGGAGGCATGCAGTCTGTGCGCTGTCCCCACCACCCTGCAAGAGCCCAAGATCGCCCCGACAACGTTTTCAGACGGCCTTGGGGCCGCCGCCTCAGGCAGCTCCTCCGCAGTCCAAGGAGCCGCCCAGAGAACCAGAGGACTGGCCCAGGACGTCGACCCAGGGCTGCCTCGAGACGGCCGAAAAGACCGCGCCGAGACACCTCGGGGGACGGCCCAAGACCTGCCTGCGAGACCTCAAGCCCCCCCGACGCATTCTCAAGTCCATTCCCGACGGCCCCACGAACCGCCAGGACATCTCTCATGCCCTGGAAAATCCACCAAGATCCAGAACTGGCACCCCACAGGCCCTCAAGAGACCACCTACCACCTAGGGCCTCCAGACGCTCCGCTTCTTCAGCACCAGACGCAAGCACAGACACGTGCCCGCGAAACGGCACCACGCTCCCGCACGGTAGACATGCCACGCAACGACCATGCATTGGCACAGCCGCGCAGCGCTGCAGCACCGCCGGCGGGTATGCGCGGCAGCGCAAGTGGATACTCGTCTGGCGAGATGTGGACCCCAGACTCGTCCCGCAGCTCCAGCATGAAGTCCCGCAGCACCCAGACAAGAGCGGGCCTGCTGGCCTCAGCTCCGCGCTCCTCGATGTGCTCGGCGAAGCGGCACACCAGGGCGAGCGAGTTGAATACCCCTTCGCTGAGCGCTCCCCTGGTGTTCAGCACCAGCACCGAGGACAGCAGCGCACACAGCGTCATCAGCTGCGCATCGCGCGTGCGGTCGCTCTCGGTGCTGCCAAACCCTTCGCAGTCCATGAAGACCATCAGGGGACTCTGGTCGTCCTCGGAGTCGGCGCTGCCCCACAGCCACAGCCCCTCCGTGCATGCCCGCGTCGTGTTGCCCACCTGGAAAGGCGGGAGCCCCTTCTGCATGCGCTCGAGAAGGATGTTCATCAGAAAGCTCTTGCCCGTGCGGTACAGCCCGCAGACCGACGCGACCGCGATCCGCCTGGCCCCGTGCCGTTCGAGCACCTCCGCCCCCTCGGGACACACCTCGTAGCGCCACTTGCTGCCGCTCCTCTGCACCCGCAGCAGCTGCACCGGCGCCGGCAGCTGCTCCCGGGCGGCGGCGCGAGGCGGCGGCGCGTGACCGCCGCTGGCAGACGGCTGCACAGCCAGCGGCCCTGAGCCAGCGGCCCCGCCCCTCTGCGGCCGCCGGACCTTGTCGGGCGGGACCTGGGGCTTGCAGTCCAGATCGTAGGTGCCGGCAGCGTTCACGGCGAGCACCCTCGCGGGGATCCAGCGCCCCTGCGAAGCACTCTGGTACTCCACGGCGTCGCCCACAACGTGCTGCGCGCCAGCGAAGCGGGCGTCGCCTGGCCTGGCGTCCTGGCCGCGGCGCCGGATCTTCTCCCTGGGCACCTCCGGCTTGCAGTCCAAGTTGTAGGTGCCGGAGCTGTTCGCAGCAAGGACCTTTGCCAAGATCCAGCTGCTCTGGCTTGCGCTCCAATACTCCACTATCTCGCCCACCTGCAGCGGCTCCGAGGCGGAGCCCGCGCCAGGGCCGAGCCCCCCCAGCGACGTACCCAGAGGCGCAACGTTGGTCAACGTGGGAGGGGCTTCTGTGTGGCTGCTGAGACCGCTCCAGCCGCCAAACCAGGAGGTCATCACCTGCGAGAGAGCGTGATCCACCGCCGCTTTACTGTGGAAAATTGCCAACCTTTTCCTCCCGAACCCGGGGGTCGCCCCCCCCCCTCCGACCCCCCCCCCCCCACCCTCCTCTCCCCCCCCCCCCCCCCTCCCCCGGCAAACCCACCCCCACCCCCCAAACCAACCCCCCCTCCCCTAACACCCTCCCCCCCCCCCCCCTCCCCCCCTCCCTCTCGAAAACCGGGGGGGGGTCACTACCGGTTCGAACCCCTCCCCCCCCCCCCCCCCCCTCCTGATCCGGAAAAAAACCGGGGGGGAAACAGGGAACCCGGTCCACCCCGAACCCCCCCCCCCACCCCCCCCCCCTACTCACCGCCAGCAAACGACTCCCGGTCCCCACCACCGTCCGCATCACATCCCCCACTGGTGTTCCCAGCACCACTGTCCTCACCACCGCTGTCCCCACTGGTTCCACCACCGCCCCTACTGTCCCCACCAGTGGCCCCACCACTGTCGCACTGTCCCCGCTGTCCCCAGAACTGTTCCCACCACGGTTCCACCACTCTCCCCACTGTCTCCACGGCCCCAACCACTGCCCGACTATCCCCACTGTCCCCACTGTCCCACTGACTCCTCCGCTGTCCCACTGAGCTGTCCCACTGTTCCCACCACTGTCCCCACTGTCCCCACCACTGTCCCCACTGTACCTCCGTCCCATTGTCCCACCGCCGTCCTCGCCACCGCCTTCACCACTGTCCCCACCACCATTGTACCCTCCACTGTCCCACTGTTTCCACCTCATTCCCATTGTCCCCACACCACTGTCCCCACCACCACCGTCACCACCACTGTCCACTGTCCCCCCCTGTTCCCACCATTGTCCCCACCACTGTCCCCACCACTACCGTCCCCACCACTGTCCCACTGTCCCACTGTCCCCACCACTGTCCCGCTGTCCCCTCACCACTGTCCCCACCAACACCGCCCCCACCACTGTCCGCACCCCCGCTCGGTTTTCGAGGGGGGGGGGAGGGGTCGAACCGGTAGTGACGCCCCCCGGTTTTCCGGATCCGGAGGGGGGGGTGGGGGGAGGGGTTCGAACCGGTAGTGACCCCCCCCCCCTTTTCATATGAGCAGGGGGGGGGGGGGGGGGAGGGGTTCGAACTGGTAGTGACCCCCCCCGGTTTTCCGGGAGGGGGGGGGGGGGGGAGGGGTTCGAACCGATAGTGACCCCCCCCGGTTTTCCGCCAGCAGCGGTAGAACACGCTCTTTCTCACCTGCACGACGCCCTCGCGGCGCGGGGCGGCCGAGCGCGTCGCCTGTGCTTGAGCCGAAGCGGCTTCAGATCGCCTCGTGGCACCCTCCTGGGCCGTCGTGGGCGCCTCCAGGCCCCCCTCCAGAAATTTCAAAGTCGTTCGAAGACTGACGCTGACACGCAAGCGATCCATGCTGTCAGAACTTGCTGGTCGCAACGATGTGCATCGCGCCGCGCTCGGGCCAGAAAGGGGCGCGGACCACCAAATCGCGCACCCATGCTGCGGGAGCAGCAGAGGAGCGGCCGCGGAGGAGGAGGCAGGAGGAAACACGCGCGCCGAACACACGTGAACTTCACGTGCAGCGCTGTCAGCCCGTGTCGCCAAAACGTGCGAACTCCCCTGACCCCCCTGGCCTCTGCGCACCTCTCGCGCATGCCTGGGCTGGGCCCCGCCCCCAAATCGTGGCAATTCCCCCCCCCTCCCCCCCTGACAGAGGTCTTCACACAGAGGGGGCTGATATCAGGCACGCCGGTGGTGGCACAGGGCTGGCTTCTGCGGCCCCCGTGGGTTCTCGTTCCCTCTTCCGCCGACGCACCTTTCTCCTGGCGTGGGCCACCGGGGATCTTCGCCCGTTCCCCCAGGAAGCCCGGCTTGTCTTTCCGAACCGCTCTTCTGACTGGCCCGGGGCTGGGACACGGCCTCCATGGAGCCGAAAGCGTAAACAAACCGGCCGCCACGCTTTTTCGTTGCGACCGCTGGACCCGAGGGAGACAGCCTCAGGACACGGACAACTCGCTCCAGATTCTTGTCGGAGCCTTCTGGGTCGCTCTGGAGCAGCCTCGGCGCCCGATGCATCCTGAGCAACCGCCGGCTCCCCGTTCATTGCGTTATCAGGGTGAGGGGGCAGAAAGGCCTTGCACCATCCCTGGGTTCGTGGGTGAAGTGGGATCCGTGGCCCAGATTGTGCTTTTTCGGTGTTCATTGCTGTTGTTGGTGGTGTTACTGAATTCCCACTACTAAGAAGAACTATTGTTGATACCCCCTCTGGTGCACCTTGTACTTGTTCAAGTGAAGTGCCCCTTCCAGGGCTCGCAGAATGCGTTTTACTCCCAACCCGTCCCTTGGTTGGATACTCGTTTTGAATAGAGCACTGTCTGCCCCGTCCCTCTCCTCCTTCTCTTCGCCCTCCTCCTCCTCCTCCTCCTCCTCCTCCTCCTCCTCCTCCTCCTCCTCCTCCTCCTCCTCCTGCCTCCTCCCTTCTCCCTCCTCGCCCTCTCTCCTCCCGCCTGTGTCCTGCCTCGTGCCCGCGGCTCGCTCGAGTATCGTCACTTGCGCAGCGGAGGTGCCGTAGGCTCCTGGGAGGCCCAGCGGAAGTACGCCTTACGCAGATCACCACGAGGCCTCGCCGTCTCCTGGAGGGCTGCGATCTGCGTTTCACCACGAGACCTCGCCGTCCCCTGGGGGGCTGCGATCTGCCGAACTGTCGCCGCTGTCGTGGGCTCCTGGGAGCCCCAGCGGAGGTGCGTCTTACGCAGATTACCAC